TTTTAAACTTCAGCAGTAGAAAAATATTTTAAATTTAAATAAACCTTTTAGATGTTTCGGTTATAAAAAAAATATGCTTACATTACATTTAAACCACACAAAATAATATGTAAAATCACAATTATTAGTATAGGAAGCAAGTGTGTTGAATGCAGAAAAAAATCTCTTGAAATGAAAGATCTTTTTACAAGAAATAGCAAAACACATTTTTCACTGAGCAGGTTTCATGTATCTAGTTTGATTACCGCATATTTGTTGCTTGTTTGATTATTGCTATTACTTTTATAAAAAAAAACTTTATGCTTACACTGATTAACAAGATTATATTTTTAAATGAACACATAAAGTTTATACTAATTGCTAAATCAATTAACATAAATATTTAAATCATAATATTTTAATTTTTCTTAACAACAGTACTTATGATTTTTCAAAATAGTTAAATCAAAGTTATTAAAAATAGGTAACATAAAATATTAATTTCAGTTTACAATAGTCCCTTAACTCCCACTCCTGCAGTAAGACCACTGAATACCAAGAATTTGACTTAGGTTTGACCCAGGCAAAGGGGCTGGCTGCATGGTGGGTTTTCATGTTTTTTCCAGTGTGTAATATGAATATGAGCCAGTTTTCTATAGAAAGTCATCTCTCCCTTTAGATAGACTTTATGTGCTGTGTTGTATTCCAGTAACAGACCAACCCATTAATGCCTTAGCTGGCTGTTTAATTTGTGTAAACGGCATGAAATGCAATATAAGCATGTTCTCAGGCTTCCCAAACTGCAAGAAATGGCGTTACAGTGCATGAACTGGCAACTTTACAGTTCATTAAAATGCTCACTCATATGTTGTACAAAAGACTGTGAATACTCTTAAAAATTTTAACATGAAATCCTCCTTTATTTATCATATTCTCATTAATCATTTCCCATTAATTATTACTTCAGCTTGAAAACTTCTTAGCTGCAAAAGAATTTAGTGATGACAAAGAGTTTCAGTGAGTGGTTAATAGTGTGTTTGCATCACAGTCCTCTGATTTTTTTCACCGAGGATTTAGAATTCACTAAGTAAACCCATTTGTTGATAAAATAATAACAGAAGTTTGCATATGATGAGAAAATCTATTTTAGCTAACCAAGAACTTTTGAATTTTCTTACCATTTGTAGGTGACATATACTTATGGGCCATTTTAGTTCCATTGTCTAGAAGCATAGGATATTGTGAATGGACATGGATGTCTGTAAACAAATTTTATCACCTTTCAGCTAATATCTTTACATGTTAGATAGTTTTTTCATGCCATAAAGTATTCAGACAAAGATATTACCAAATTAATAACATTTTTAAATGCAGAAGTTGGAAGTTTGTTCATTACTAAAAATAATATGTTGTAGATACCATTTTTGTCATTCTGGGTAAATGGAAGTTTTTTCAAGTTAGTTTCATTTTTCAACTTCAGTCCAATGATAAATTTTGTGCATATGTGGACGTTTCATTTTAACAGTGGGCTCAAACTTGTACAGTGGTAGCTGATGCTCAAAAATTATCTTCTAATTAAATCTTTGTTAATCTAGTTAAAATCTTCTAATTGTCATTTCTTAAGCATTAATATGGGATTTGAACCTGGGCCCATCACTATGGCAATCAGGGTCACTAACCACTATACCATATATACTGGGCAACGTTCATTATTATAGGTTGTGTAAGTGAAACATACAGTTTAAATTGCAAACAAAAAATCACATTTCTATTTGTTATGAACTCTCATCTATAGCTGCAACAGTTTAAAAACTAATCATTGTCCTTCCTACAAACATGTATCTTCAGAAACTATATTCAGGAATATTACAAAAATAGACTTTAGAAGTATAACAAGATAGTCATCTTATCACATCAGTTACACAACTGGCTATTATCAGGGCTGATGTTTACTGTTAATAAAAAATGCAGTTTATTACTGTATTTCCATAAAAGGGTGTACACTTTTTAGCTCTTTTATGTTCTTGAAACAGTTAAGCCCTTTTATGTTATATGTTTGTGTCATAGTATATGTGTTTTGAAAAAGGATGGTTTTAATGTGCACCTTTTCCATATGATACTTTAATCATTTCTGAGATAAGCATGCATAACTTCATTATTTTATTTCCATACCTAGATCTGAAATTCATTGCTGAATTTGAAAATTTCCTTGTAAACCTGTCAATACTGCTTGCTCTGTCATGAATATTTGCCAGAAAAAATAATTTGAGTTAGACTACATTTGATATAATCATCGACCACACCTCTTTTAAACTTTTACATAACTTTTAAATTCTCGTGTAATGTCTTTTCTTCTTCTTTCAGAAATATATTGTATTATTGTTCAACCATATAGTTTAAGAAGTGTTTTATAGCCTAAAGGGGCAATTTATCTACAAGGGCTATTAATTTCATTTTGGCATTTTGCGTTCATTCACTATAAATGTTGGTTTACTTTTCACATTGTTACCACCAAATATTAGAGCCCTGCCATTATAGTTAAAGAAATTAAATAATAAAGACTGTGCATGAATGTATATGTGTTTCTCGCACTGTGAAAAAACAACGGTACCTAGAAACATCAAATTTTGGATAACGTAGTCCTCCATTCGAATCTGGAAGCCCAAATTTGGAATTTTTTTTATCATCTATTTCATATTTTGTCAAACATTAAAGAATTTTCAATTAACAGTCTCTACGATTTCAAAGCAAGCAATGGCAACATTGTACGGAAAAAAACATTTTATCTCCATCATGCAGACTGTGTATCAGAAATTCTAAAGATATGCTCTTTTAAATATTTGGTGATATTGCTATTGAATGAATTTTATGATTAAAGTGTGAAGAACATGATATTTAATAAGTAAAGGTAACACACAAAACATTAAAAAAATGCTCCTTTGGGCCTAATATAAAATCTGGAAAATGCTGAGAATTTTTTTTTTTTTTTTTCTTTTATCTTTTTAAAAATTTTGTAATGTGACAGTAGTAGTAGTTTTTTTTTGTTTTGTTTTGTGTGTGTGTTTGTCACTCTTATTCTGTAATATTTTAAGCAAGTAATATATAATATAAACATTTAGGTTATTTACATATAAAAGCTGCTGCAACAATTTGCTGGGAAAACAGCATAATCATCATATTCTTTTGCCATTTTACTAAAGACAGTTTTTTTTTTTCCATCCTAATAACATTCTGTGCCATTTTATAAAATGGCACAGAACATTTTATTAAATGGCACAGAACATGATTACCCTTTTTTAGTTTACATTAGAACTGAAACATGATCACCCTTTTTTAGTTGCAAATAAATGAAAAATTAGTACCCCAAACAGAAAGAAATTTTTTTTTAAATTTAAGAATGTGTTAGAAACGTACCATGATGCTGTCTGTAATGAAAAAGATAAGGAGAAAAACGAAAAGGGATAATTAAGACACAATAACACGCCGAATAAATACTAATTCAGAAGTCAAACAACATTGAGACTTGCAATTCTCTTCCGTTTCTCGACATTCTGGTCACACGTAACACATCCAACTTCAGTACTACGGTTTACCGTAACCTTCATCGTTTGCCTTCCACCACACTTTAAATCATGTCATCCGACTAAACAAAAGTTAGCTTCTCATTTTATTCCTATGTTTTCCGTGCTCTTCAAGTTTGCTCCTCCAAACTAGCCCTTGATGAAGAACTAAATTATTTAAAAGCAATAGCTATTGACAGGGGCTTTTCACCCAACATTATTAATCAAGCAGTTAAAAAATTCTCATCTCAACACACTAAAAAGGCACACTCTTGTTTTAGGAGATTATAAAAATTCTGTTGTCATTCCCTTTTTTTTCCATCAATTAGCTATAAAGTTGCACATATTTTTGCAGAAATTTAACTTTCGGGTTGTTTATCTCCCATCAATAAAATTCCGAGTTCCATACTCAAGGACCCCATTCCGGATATGAATTCCTGGGGTATTTATAGGATTCCTTGCCAGTGTGGTTTAATTTACATTGGCCAAACTAAGAGAGCCTTAAAATTTCGCGTCAAGGAACATGAGGCATATGTTAGAAAAAAGGAAACACAGAAGTCTTCTGTTGCTCAACATTGTTGGTCCGAAAATCACACTTTCAATTTTTCTGCTGCTGCCAAAATTATTCAAAAAACATCTTCCATTGGAGAACTGGATTTTCTAGAGGCATTTCACATTCATAAAAATCTTTCTGTTCTAGTTAACGATCCTAATTCCAATCCAAATTTGCCTTCGGCCTTTAAAGAAATTATGTTTTAGTTCTGGTTTCACCAACAGATGGTGCCACTTGCTTATTCTTGTCCAGGCTTTCTTATCTTATCTAATCATTATTTCCTATCTTGTTCATTTGCGGTTTTGCAGCTGAAGATGGTGGTTCGGTAAAACCATCGAAACTAGTCCTGTGAAAATTTTGTAAATATAATGCTGATTTTTGTTGTTTGACTTCTGAATTAGAAAAGGGATAGTTTTCCACAGGAGGGAAGGGGTCATGTAAAGTTGAGCCATCAAGAAATGAAAAATGTAAATAGGTATATCTCTTTATAGATGGGTGAGGAAAAATATTTAGATATTAATTAATGAAGAGACATTATTACAGATGTGTAAAACCTGCAAAAAAAAAGTGAGGAAAATGAGGATTTTTCTAAAATTAGTGTTATGCTTTTTATGACAAGCAATACTACTGCTCAAGTTTCTGATATGTTTCTGTTTCAAATATCCCAAAAAGTGTTGAGCGAGAATTCAGTCAGAATTTTTCACTTTAAGGTCGCCTTATAACTCTAAAATTCTATTTAAATATTTTTTATATTTTCTTATTGTATAACAATACTTTGTGTGTAATTTTATGTATTTATATTTATTGTAGTAACTTATATGAATCTCATTGCATATAACTGTCACAGTAACTATAAATTATACATGCATTTTTTTCATAGCTGTGAACTTTTATAATTTCCCTTGTAGAGAGAAGTGGGCATGAATGGAAGGCTGTGTTTCTCTCAAGGTGATAGGTGCCAAATTACTCAAAGGCAAGCAGATCCTGTTAAATATGTTTTGATATTTTTAGTGTAATTTAGGTGCTTATTAAACCTATATAGCTATAAAATTTGAAGGTAAAAATTTTAAGGAAATTAATTGTCTTAAGCTGTTTCATTTGTCTGATTTTGTTGTTCTAAGCTAATAGTAGATTTGTGTATTTTTAAGTATGTTAAAGCAGTTCACATTGGTAATTCTTTTAGGTGATTTACATGTAATTAAGACACAATAACACTCCGAATAAATATTAATTCAGAAGTCAAACAACAAAAATCAGTGTTCTATTTGCAAAATTTTCACAGGACTAGTTTCGATGGTTTACCGAACACCATCCTCAGCTGCCAACTGCAAAGGCTTCATTTGTGGTTTTGCAGCTGAGGATGGTGGTTTCGGTTAAAACCATCGAAACTAGTCCTGTGAAAATTTTGTAAATATAACGCTGATTTTTGTTGTTTGACTTCTGAATTAGGATTTACATGTAGTTTACATATTTATTTAATCATATTTTATTCACTTTCTGATTTTAGACTTTCAGTTTAATACATTTGAATTTTTACATTTTATTATAAAATTGTTTGAATTGGACAGAATGACACACCAAAATTAAACTCAGTGTAAAAAAACATAACATCAATTGACACTGGTGATATTTTACAGAAGAACTTTCAGCAACTGAAACATAATGACCCTTTTTTAGTTGCAAATAAATGAAAAATTAGTACCCCAAACAGAAAGAAAATTTTTTTTTTTAATTTAAGAATATGTTAGAAACGTACCTGTAATGAAGAGGATATAGAGAAACACGAAAAGGGATAGTTTTCCACAGGAGGGTAGGGGTCAATATTAAGTAAAGTTGAGCCATCAAGAAATGGAAAATGTAAATAGGTATATCTCTATATAGATGGGTGAGAAAAAATATTTAGACATTGATTAATGAAGAGACATTTTTACAGATGTGTAAAACCTGCCCCCCCCCAAAAAAAATGAGGAAAATGAGGAAGATTAAGAAAAATGAGGATGCTTTTATTGTTATCTTAGCAACTATGATATTTCTGAGTTTGCATTAATGGAGAATTGAATGGTATTATGTTTAGTATAATGTAAGTATAATTTATCACTAAGATTAAATATATTTACCATTATTCGTCTTGAAATCATTTTTAATTTTTTATTTCTGAAAGCAAGTTTTGTCATATTAGAATTCAAATTCAATAACTATTCTAGTATTTATTAAAGATTTTTCAGCCATGGCCAAAATCTGATTACCTAGCAAAAGGTGCCAATATTTCCGTGGACAGATTAATATATAAGTTCTCTTGATTGTAATAAAGGAAACATTTAACTTTATGAAGAACATGCTAGTATGAAAGCGTGGAAAAAGTGTCAGCAAAATCTTATGCACAATTTAAAAAGTGCTGCATTTTGTCTAATTCCTGCTGCTTAAAATTGGTCTGGTAATTATCTTAATTGAACATTTTAAGTAATCTGTGAATAATTGCTTTCAAACTTCCTCATGATTTTTAACATATAGTTTGTTTAAAGCTCATTTAATCTACTTAAATATGTCGTGCTGTATTAGATTTGTAAGTTATCAAATTTTTCTATGTAAACTGAAAAACTCTCCCTTATTTGCTAATTTAGCAGGTGTGCGTAATAAATGTGAAATTCAATTTTTTTAATTAAAAAATAGTCTTAAGAAGTAATTTTAAATAATTATTGGTGTTTCATGTTCGAAAAAGGATATTTTTTAGGCTTAAAGCAATTTTAAGCATTTTATGCAAGTTGTTCTTTTGTTATTTTCTTTATAGAGTTCTTCCAAACAAAAAGGATATGTTGGATAGGTACCATGGTAAAGTATTCTGTGGAACTTTTGCAAGAGATGGAGATGTTTTCATGTCTGCAGCGCAAGGTAATATGAAGATTTCACTTTTAATTTTATAAAAAAATTATAATAATTGTATATTATGATAATTTAATAACTATACATTTTTTATTTATATTTTTGTTGTCTGTAATAAATTATGATTGTTATATCTTTAAATATTGGTTTTTTCCAGATTATTGTATTAGGTTGTATGATACCAGCAATGGTCGATTTAAACTGAAACGTACTATAGAAGCAAGAGATGTTGGTTGGAGTATATTAGATACTGTAGTAAGGTAAAATATTCTGTTACATGCTTTTTGTATTAAATATATGTGATGTACCAGCTTTAGTCGTAGCTTAAATTATCAGATGATAAGTTAAAAAAAAAAAAAAAAAAAAAAAACAGGATCCATTTATTATTATTCAGGAGAAAATAACAGTTACAAAATAAGATATCTGGAGTAAATAAAAAGAATTACTAATAACTTTTTGTATGAAGTTTACTGAATCATGACATTTAAGAAAAAGCCCCCGATATTCCTTTGCGAGTCCTTTTGTAGCCTCTGGAAAGGCATAGCTTCAAAGAAATGACGTCAGCCTCGTTAGCCAATCCAGTTCGCCTTAAATATTTCCAGAACATTCTATAACTGTACGTGTAGAAAAGGCGGGGAAAACAACTTGACTACGGGGCTGTGGGTTTAATTCCATGTACTTTCAAATAAGAGACCGTCGCCATTAAAAAGGAAAAGAACATACAGTTAGAATTTTAAGTGTATTCCAGACTATGGAATTTTATTATTATATATATATATAATTTATTTACTAAAAAAATATTGATTATATTATCTCGTAATATAATTTCGAACTAAGTGAATTTAAGATCATACAACATTATACAGTCAAAGTCTTTAATCCGGACTTGTCGGGACTTCGGCGATTCCGGATTCTCAATTTTTCCGGATTATAGATCATCAGTTTAAATCTGGTAAGATGGCATGCAGAAATTATAAAATAAAAAATATGAAACTGTAATTTATAATGTGCAATTATGATCTAAAGGGTATCAAAATTTACAAAAAAAGAAGCTTAATATTTATTTGTTTACTTTATTAGACATTTCTTTCAATGCGCGCATGCGTAAAGCATACCTTACACATAGCCGAAATTAGAAAATTGCAACCAGAAAACTATTTGATTTGTATTCGTGATATTTATAATGACGAGGAATTTGATTTAAATCATATCAAAGACGGAGTACATCGAGATTAAATACTACATTTAGTAAGGAATTATAAGCGGAATAAAATAAAAACATCTGCCCTAAAGATAACGATAGTGCTGACAGATCAACTTCCAGTTCATTGCGCACCACGACGTCCCCCCCCCCCCCCGCACAGAGCAGTGTGAAATTGATAAACTGATTTCGGAACCGTTAGATAAACAAAGGATGTGCCTTTATCCATTTTTTATAGCAATTCATTTTTTGTTTGATGGACATCGAAGCATACTTTCGTTTTCTAGATCCTTTGGGAGCTCCAGCATCGGAAATTCTATTTGACATAATCGAAAGTTCAAGCTTACTTTTATAAAATTGCTCTTACAGTCTGCAAAAAATAATAAGCCGGATCCAATTCAAAGATTAAGGAACAATGCAATCATCAACATTAACTGAAATAGATAATTAGATAATTTTAGCTTATACCGTCCGTTTTACATTAAACGCGCAAGCGAAAACGTATTCTGCGCCTGCGCAGACACATATGCGCAGTCGTAAATGTCTTGCGCGCACGCGTAAAACGCCTATGCGCATGCGTCAACGCGGCGCATGCGCAGAAAGATTTTAGCTTTGAGGTCCGGATTATGGGTGTCCGAATTAACGACTTTTGACTGTATATATATAAGACACAATAACACGCCGAATAAATACTTATTCAGAAGTCAAACAACAAAAATCAGCGTTATATTTACAAAATTTTCACAGGACTAGTTTCGATGGTTTTACCGAACCACTATCTTCAGCTGCAAAACTGCAAAATTGCAAACTGCATTTTGCAGTTTTGCAGCTGAAGATGGTGGTTCGGTAAAACCATCGAAACTAGTCCTGTGAAAAATTTTGTAAATATAACGCTGATTTTTGTTGTTTGACTTCTGAATTAGTGTATATATATTAGTTAATTTTAAGTGTAGTGATATACTTACATATCATGATATAAAAAAGATATCTTAAATTCCAAGCTTTCTTGTATATTTTTGACTCAGTTGCTTGAGTACAGGGCTTGTTAGAAAAGTTTTAGCCTTTTATTTAGTTATTAGCACATTGATTGCCACACGTTTCTGTGCTATGTTAGGTTTGATTTGATTGCCAATTTCTTATTTTGCTTAGACATCCCTACTATGTCTTAATACAATCTGAAGAATTGTTTTTAAGAAAAAAAATGCATTCTACCTGTGTTTTAATGATTACTGTATGTTTTAATTAAGATTTTGATACTACATGATTAAATTAAATTGGTTTCTGAGACTGAAATCATGAAATTTGCCATGGCAGTCAGCATGCTAATTTTCTAGCAGCACTGTACTTTTGATCTAACTTTATCAAGTTGTAAGTGAATTTTTGGCTTAGTTATCTAAGTATTGAATCATTAGAACATATTCAGTTAATGGTTGATGATTTTCAGTTCACTCATTGTGGCCACTATAAAGGAAATCTATTTAAATCTGTATGTGTAGTCTGTATAAGCTGAAAATAAAAGCATATTTACAAAATCTAATGTGTTGGTAATATAACTAAGTTTAATAAATAAATATGTAATGCTATTATAAAAAGTAATAGAAAAGTTATTTAAAAAATAAAATGTGTATCAGTTTAAGAACAGTTACAGATAATTTAAAAAAAATATTGTTTATTTAATTTATTCTAAATATTCATAATTTAATTTTTGTACCTTATAGTCCTGATGGAAGCAATTTCATTTACTGTAGTTGGTCAGAATGTAGTGAGTATTTTTATTGTGTTTTATTTACGAACACATGAATATTATTATTATTTATTTATTGGCATGTTTATAAATGAAGAACTAGAATCTGTCAATGTTTCAGTTTATTTAGCTTTATATGTTATTGATTGATTCACACATTATTTATGTATAATTTTAGTACACATATGCAATGTTTTTGGGGATCAAGAAGTTCATGAAGCTCTCCCTCTTTTCCCTGAAGAAAGACGCTTTTGTGTCTTTGCTTTGAGATTTTCTCAGGATGGTCGTGAGATACTTGGAGGGTAAGATACATAGTTGCAAGTTTCCCACATTTTGTGAGATAGAACATTGGTATGAAATATTTTTGCAAGCTGAAATAATACAAAGAGAAAAAGCAACTACTTTTTTATATATATGAGAATGATTTTTGAGTATTTCCAAGTTTCTAGAGAAGCTATCAAATCTTTATAAATAACACATGAATACTAATATATGATACTGAAAGCAAAAGTGATCAATTTATACCTGCCAAAGTAGAAGTAACATGTATAATAATAATGCCCAAACTTTAACTTGATATAGTACAATTTAGAATTTATGCCCAATTTTTAACTTGATGTGAGATAGTTTAGAATTAAAAAAAATTTTGGTAAGCCACAATTATATATTGCACTTTTAATATTTCAATTATAAATGTACGAGGGCCATCCAGGAAGTAGATTACGTTTCCGTCTGTGTCCGCTAGGGGCGGGGCTAGCGCGGCCATCTTGGGGTCAGAGCGTTGCGCAGCTCAGTCTGCATCTAGCCGTGCTAGTGAGAGGTTCGTGCTGTGCTCCGTTCAGATACTGTGACGGTTTGAAATGTCTGCGTTAATTGAAAATCCCGCGAGCTGCGAGGTGCGCTCAGTAATAAGGTTTCTGACTGCAAAAAACTGTAAACCGATAGAAATCTATCGGCAGCTTCGTGAAGTGTATGGGGACAACATTATCACTGAAGGTTGAAGGTGGAGTGCGTCAGTGGGTCATAAGATTTCAAAAATGGCCGAACCAATGTTCACGACGAAGATCGAAGTGGGAGACCCAGCATAGTGACCGCCGAACTTCTCGAAAAAGTCGATGCTAAAGTCCGTGAAAATCAAAATTTCACAATAACGGAACTTTCTTTGAGTTTTCCACAAAATTTCGCGAAGTTTGTTGCACGAAATCATCAGCGAAAAGCTTGGTTACCACAAGTTTTGTGCAAGATGGAAGGCAAGAAGAGGTAACGAAGTGGTTGAAGGCGCAGGCGGCCGAATTTTTCGACGAAGGAATTTCCAAGCTCATACATCGCTACGATAAATGCCTTAATTTGTATGTAGAAAAGTAGTATTTGAGTGTGGCTTTCATCTGTATATAATAAAATTTGTTTCCTATACTTTGTTTATTTTTTTATTCCAAAACGTAATCTACTTTCTGGATAGCCCTCGTATATTATACATAAACTATAAAAGTGTGTTGTATGATATGTTAAAAAAAAGTAATTATGTATTCTTTATATTAATATTTAGTAAAATTTCTGCAAGATGTAAATTAAATATAGGAAAAGCATATTTTAATGTGAAACCTTACACTGCATGGCTTCTGTGAGTTTACTGTGGTACATAACCATGTTATGGCTAAGTTCATGCACTCATTTGGATGTGTTTATACTGGATCTGACTTTGATTTTAACAAGTTCATTGATGAAAAAACACTTTCACAATGTTAAGTTGATCCAAAGCAGAAGTTTAATCTTTGAAAAGTTTCTTAAGAGTATTTTTTCTCATCTACAAATATCCAAAAGTGTCTTTGTGATATTCGAGTTTATAATTGTAGGTGAGACTGAAAATCAATTATTTACAATTCTAGATTAGCCAAAAAAATATATATATATATATTGCGTATTTGCAAAATGTTGTGATATTTCGGAAATATTAATAACAACAAATGAGTTTGAAATAAATGAAGCAGTGGGTTTAATTTTATGGAAATCAGAAAATCTATTTCAATATTGTTTTTAAGCTTGATGAGATTTTCAGAATATTTGATTGTTTCAGTTTTCTTATATTTCTTGATGTAATTCTCCAAATTTGTAAAGTGGCAAAAGGTACATTCATTTAGAGTTGAAAGTTACGAAGGTTATTCGTTATTATTCAAAAGTTACATTCCTTTCATTCCATAAATTTAATTTTGATTTGAATGTGGTTATACTTCCTATTAATTATATAATAATCTTTCACTTGCTTACTAAACCATCCAGTTAAAGAATGCAACAGTAAAGTTCCATACTCAGCATCAAATTTATCAGTCTGTACTTTGAGCAATCTGTTTTGAAGTAGTGTGGCATGTTTACAATGTTTTGAACAACTTTCATCATGTGATCGTAGTGTAAAACTTTTGTAAATAATGCCTTCTTATGATGGTGCAGTTAAAAAAGCTTGGAAAGTCAGCAGTTATTCTTATATAATGTGATGAAATCAATAGCTAAAATAATCATGGCAGGTGCACCATCTGTCATTATTGATCCAAGTTTTTTAAGTGGAAGATTAATTTCAATTATATATTTTTAATAGCTTAGTATATGCTCACACACTGCATGCAATGCCTTTTAGTGGCAAAATTGACAGTGTGTTATCCTTCACTGATCAATCACAAAAACTATCCTTATAAAAACATTTACTTGTGGTACATTGCAGATATCTATTGATTCATCCCACGGTAAATTTAAATGCATTTTTGTAATTCATCTTTTACCTTGTCTCTGACATTTCAGACATTCATTTGTATTCCCACGAGTGATGGAATTTATGAATAACTGACATAATTTCATTCTTATTTTTAGCTTCTTGAAATAAAACCTCTGATGCAGCAAGCATTGCTTCTTTAATTTGTTGCCATCAACATGGTTCTCTCTTTTTTTTTTTTTTTTTTTTTGTGTGTGTGTGTGTGTGTGTGTGTGTGAACTGTAGGTATATGTGCAACCTTAAATGATACAACCAAAGTAACCTTCATTTTATTTGAGGACTTGTAAACAGTGATTATTGGGCAAAGAATGTGCTTTACAGTTCTTTCACTTCTCATTTTCTTGGATTCATGTTAGTATTTTTTTATGAACTGTTGTAAAATGTCAGATTATGTTGCCCCCCCCCTCCCCCCCCTAGTATAAACCACTGAATCATAAATCAAATACATTTGTCCTTAAAATTACTGAAAAAATATTTCTTTTTTCCATTCATCATTAAAATTTTAATAGTAGTTACTGTTTTTTCATGTTTTTCAGCTCATATGATGACATGATTAGGGTAACTGCGAAATCACTAATATTTATTAAAACTAATAAATAACATGAGTAAAAGAGAATACTTTTTTTATACCTGTATGAAACCATCAAGTCAGTTACTTCATGTACAACTCCTGAAATTCTTTCTGTGTTCACTGGCTTATGTTTCATGCAGGCTATACCAAGAGCCTGACGTTGGTGCTGTAAAATAACTAAACATTGTGTGGTAGAGGTATTCATAAGGGACAGTGTATGGAAATGCAGTATTCAGTTGAATCTGAAGCAATCCACCATGACATCACTCATGATGTGTGGACCACTGAAAGCAATGTTGGGGTGCAATGTCCAGTGTAAAAGAGCATTTTGGCTTAAAGCTTCCTGAAAAAGATCTATCTTTAGTGTGTGTGGCATAACTAGGATTTGACTTTTCCTTTTTCATTTTGGCACTTGACTTTACAAGACAGAGAAGGGACCAGATGTCTGTTGCTAGCAATGGGTTGGGCATCCTTGGTATATAACATTGTTTAAACTCCGAAAACAAAAATTGATGAGACAACAAGTAGACTGTAGGGCTTAAGAAGTGGTTACAGTATGATAAGGTGCTAAACTAAGTTACAGACTTGCCACAACCTAAGACACTAAAAAATCAGGAATTTTTTAACGACGAAAAGACTTTTTAAATGATAAAAATATATTTTTTTAATAAAGAATTAACTTTAAACAAATATCTCAAAAGTTCAGTTAATAATGCTTAAACGCAAACAGTACAAAAGTACTTGCTTGTAAAAAACATTTTTATTATTTGCATCTTTAAAATAATACTTTAATCAGTTTTAATGAAAATACTATTAACAGTGGCGGATTTTAGAACTCCTTTCAAGATAATAATAAATATCAACAATGTGTTCGTTGGCATTTATTGGTAAAGAAGCTGCTCCTTTTTCAGCTGCTAAACTTAAGAGGTGACAGGTGTACCTCATTAATTTGAAAATCTGAAGCTTCTTCTTCTTCTTTTCTTCTTTTTTTTTTTTAAAGATATCTTCAACACCAGTCCTCGAACCTACCATTATTGGTGCATTTTTAGCACCAAGTGCTAAGCAATTATCCAGAGGAGTTGCATTTTCTTTTAAAATTTTAATAATTAGCTGTGCTATATTAAAGCCTGTCAAATGTCCTAAGGGAGAACAGAAAGTAAACTACACTCAGTTTCTGAAGAAACTGGATTAAAATATGAAACAACAATTGAATACAGTTTTGAATCAGTATTATTGCTTCCATCCATAGAGAGGCAAAATGGAGCTGTTTTAATGCAGTCAATAATTGAAGATTTATTTCTTATACCCTTTCTTTAACAATTGCAGCCGTTTTGGTCCTTGCACTTGAATATTAGCGATTTTGTTATCGGGAAACATTTTTCTTGATCCGATGCATTCAGTGGCAAGTTGTGCTCAAGTAAAAAGGCAGAGAACAGGCATTCGGCATTAATAACGTTTCAATCCTTTGTTTCCACAGAAAAATAATTTTTTCCTCCCCCTACAGAATTTTGTTGTCTTTGTGTTTTTGCGTACGCACGTGTTTGAGACTTCCATCAAACAACATTTTCAATATTAAATAACACTAGCCTTTTTCTTAGTGATCTTAATAAAATTCTGGCACTAATCTGACAAATTTCTTTCGCTGTTGTAATGAAATATTCTTCTACATACTCATATGATCCTCCATGTCAATTCATCTTTCGTATACCAGTGTTTTGAAGTATTTTAAATACTCAATAGCATAAATATTTTCAAATACAGCCCTTCCCCCAGCTTTATAAAAGTTTGCTTTAGTTTAAGAAAAAGTCAGTTCAATCCCTTTTATGGTTTATGAAGGAATCTGAAGAGGAATTTTGTTTTTACAAAGAAAGGCAAAATGTAAAAATAATGTTTAGAGCAATGTTTCATGAATAGTGCAACTTTAATAGTAAAATATGCATACCTGTTTAGGCTACGTTTTCAGCATATTTTGACATACTTGAATGAACCAAATGCAAAGATAGTGTGTCAGACTAAACTGCAAATTTCGCTTTCATATTTCAGGTCTTGCATTATAACCAATGCTAACAAATGAACATTTTTAAATTAGCACAGACAGATAAATTCCTTTTTAGAGTTCTTTATAAATTATGAAAGGGATTGAACTGACTTTTTCTTAAAGTAAACCAAAGCAAACTTTTATAAAGCTGTAAAGGCCTGTATTTGAAATGATTTATGTTATTGAGTATTTAAAATACTTCAAAATATTGGTATATGAAAGATGAATTGACATTGATCATATCAGTATGTAGAAGAATATTTCATTACAGCAGTGAAAGAAATTTGTCAGATTAGTGCCAGAATTTTTTTAAGATCACCAAGAAAAGGGCTATGTTATTTAATATTGAAAATGTTGTTTGATGCAAGTCTTCGAATGCATTCATAACTCTGCAACAAAGTTCAGTCAAATTATAGATTTTTTTATCCCAAGGAAAAATCAATTTTTACATTTTGTAATTTTTTTTAATAATATAAGTAAAGCCATTTTACCACTTGAGTTATTTACTTAAATCAGTTTTGTTCTTTATTGCGATTTGAACGTGATTCTTTCATTTCAGTGCACCCTAAATGTAATATATAACTTAATAGAAAGAATATGTTAATGTTTAATGTTTTCTTATTTTACTGTATTTTTTAAAATTCATTATTGTGTCATTTTCAGGGCAAACGATGAATGTCTATATGTATATAACAGAGAAGAAAACAAAAGGACGTTAAAAGTATGCTTTGCGTTTCATTGTTTATTTTTATCATAATTTAAGGTAATGAAAACTTTTCTTAACTATGTTGTGTTACAAATTCCAATGTGCAAGTGAAAGAAAGTGCTACAGAGAATGTATGGACTTAACTACTGTGAATTCTTCACAGTTTCTATGGGAATTCCTTAAAAACTGTGAAAATACCAGAAAAACTATGGATTTTTCTGAAAGGGGGGAGAAGGAAAGTGTATGCAAAGCGGAACTAACTTTTATTTCTCTGATGATCGGTGAAATGTTCATGACATCATGTGTTAGGCTAATGGTCTTGCTGATTTTAAAGTCTAACTAATCAATTATAACTCTTATCTTTCCAATCAAGTACCCTATATTAAAGGGCTTGTTTACTCTGCAGGTCCCATTATGTTATATTATGATGAGGAAATGTAGCATTTGTTTCTTGTGATTTGTGATTAAACTAGAAGTTTTTTATATTCGTGAATTATGCTGCTTGCAAAAGAAAGAAGCTAAAATGGTCAAGCTAGAAATTTAAAGACTTATTCTGCAGAATTTCCATGTGTTCTGCAGTCATGCTCTTTGCACTAGCAACAAACTTTTCATTTGCATATAACATTAAAAGTGACTATAAACAACACGTATTTTTCCAAAGGCATAAGAAATTAACGCTATGAAATCATCAAATTTCTTATAAAAAGATGATGAAATGGACTTTACAAAAGCCAAATGGTATTTAGTTTGATTTTTAATTGAATTCTCTTCTAATTTCAGTTTCAAACCATATGAAACAACTTTTAAATAATGCAGTATATCTGGATTCTGCCTTGGGGGGAAACTCATTCATATGCAAATTGTGAAAGAATTTTTTCCATTATTATAAAAAGAAGAAAATATTCCACACATTTTCAACTAAATTTAGGTATGAAAGCTCTTGAAGCCATTCTCACTGAAATGCATGGATCCTGTTATTTATATACGGTTATCTAATTCAGAGTTTTTGCTTATGAAGTATGCTACTTACAAATTTTTACATTCTTAAAATTCAACTTTAAGTATTTTTGTTAAGGATTATATTTATGTTTCTTATCATTGTCTAGAATTCAATTTTTACCCCTGTGTAGAAATCAGAATCCAGGAACTTCAAATATGTAATTTTTATGGATCCTAATTTCCTCTATGATTATTTTTGATTAAAAATTTTTGCTTCAGTAATGTATTAGTAGATTTAGTGATATTTCTTCTTGAGTAATAAAATGAAAATTTCTAATTAAGTATACATATAATTTTCAAGAAATGTATTTAATTATCCAGATTATTTAACTTGAAATCCAAAATTATTTTTGGATTTTAAGTTAAATGTAATTAAATTAATAACATTTAACCATTAATTAAAAAAAGTATATATATATGTATATTTCAAAGTTGTTGAAAATGCCATTCATGCATTGACTACTGATAAATTTTGTTGTAGGTGGGAATCTATAAGAATTTAGTGGGATTTCAAAAGATATTTCAATAGCAAATTTAAGATATAAGGGTCTTCAAAATTACACTTTTTAAATTAAGAGGTGCAGACACTGTCTTTTATCAATTTGTTTACTTCACATAAAGTGGCCAATGTGTTTTGCTATAAAAGGTTCCATATTTATTGTACCTGTATTACATATGAGGCTGGTTCTTGGTGTATACAGCGCAAGCAGCAGTTTAAGGTGCAGATTTTTGTAGGTCACTGATTAAGTTTTCTCACACTACAACTGACTAAAGGTATATTTTGCTTTAAATTATTAATATGTTTAATTTTTATGGGGTCTGACTGCACTGATCACCTAGGGTGGCAAAAATTTTGAAGCTGAATCCGAGACACTTTAAGCTTTAAGCATGGGTTCCCTTCCATAAATGTAAGTATTGGTGTTAGGTATGGGATATAAACCATCAGGCATTGTGATGAAAACCATCTTTATTCCTTAAAAAAACTTCTGTGAATGTTTCGTAATGAGAGCAAATTTTGCATATGTTAATTCATTTGCATTTGCCATGGCATGAGACTTAGGTTGAAAATGATAAGAGCATTGTTTCAATATGGCAAAAGGTATGCTTACATGCTTTTTGTCAGCTGAAAAGTCATTAATAATGGAATCAAAGAAAAGTGCTCATTTTGTGTTAACACAGTTCATTTAAAAAAGAGATAAACTTAAATTTTTTATATAAACTTCAACAAGTTATTTTAGCGTTTTTTGGTTAAGCCTTAAAAATATTTTTCCAAACAATTGCTTCTTTTTGGATACTTTGCTTATATATGGCGTATTTAAAAGTTATGTAAATGATCTGTGATTATAATTAGTGGAAACATCCAAAAGAACAAAACATGAACAGTGTGCTCTAGGTTTTCTTTTCTAGAGGTTGAATAGTATGAAATTGTCTAGATTTCCCTCATATGTAATGTAAATATAGTCCAATTCCCCATAGAAAGGCATCCTTATATATGTAGCTTTAATTCATTTTGCCATCATTAAATAACTCAGTGCATTTGTTGGCTTTACTGCTGGTATTTGCAGATAGTGATCTGACTGTGAAGCATAAACCTTCTCATGTTTTGGATTATATTAATCAATAAATTTAAGTATTCAAAATTATTGTGCAATAAATTGTATCAGTCTGTAAGTGTTGATGCATTATGCATTATTAAAATTTTTATTCATAAGAACAATATGCATCATACCATGAAATTAATGTATATTTCATAGTATGGGTTTCATAATCAGTATGATAGTATACTCAACAAAAAAGGCATGCATTAATGTTACTTGGATACTTGTATATTATCCCATTGTCTGAAAAAGTTGATTACTGTGAAGCCATGAAATTTACCGTCAAAATTGAGGCAATTGTTACTGCAAAATTCTGGCCTGCATTTTTATCTGTGCCTCCTACAATATAACATTCATCACTCTCTCTGCACAATCCACCCAATAGCTATTCCTATAGCAATATTCAGTCTACTTTATTTTCATGATTCATAAAAAGGCTTTTGTCAGTTTCTACTCTTTTGTTGTTAACTACAGTTTTACTAGAAAATCAGTTTAGAATGCTATGATTACAGACTTCCCACAGGTGATTGTTCCAGTCTATTATTGTTATAGGCCATATCCAACTGTTTTTTCTCATTCAGCAGATGTTTATTCTCACAACCAGCTGTAAATGAACGGTAGTGCAATCATAAATGTAATTTTATAGGCCTCAAAATTATAGCAGTAATAGTAAGTCGATGGAATAATATTTTACGTTGTTTTCTTCCTTCATGTTCCTTATCATGACATCTGCACTTTCAATTATCCATTAATTGGTGCGAAATCATGTTGCTTAGTGACAGTTTCACCGTCGATGGAATAATATTGTTATGTCATTTTCTTCCTTCATGTTCCTTATCATGACATCTGCACTTTCAATTATCCATTAATTGGTGCGAAACCATGTTGCTTAGTGACAGTTTCACCGTCGATGGAATAATATTGTTACGTTATTTTCTTCCTTCACGTTCATAAGGGGTTCATAGATTTAGAGTGAATAACGACGACACTTGATGAAGTATTGAAATACACTTTATTTACCAATATTAATCAGGTAGCTCCAAAAATCACTTTTACAGTCTTTGAACTGTTATAAACATGCTGACACGTTCAACGACACAGCCTTCACACTGTCAGGCAATAACGGTGGAGACAGCTTCACTGCAAAGCATCTGAGTACAGTTCCCGTCGATGCACTCGACGACCAACTCGGCGCTAGACTTCGAGACACTCGCTCAATGACTATCAGCTCGCTAGACAAGGCACACACACTAACTGACTGTGGACCAGCAGGGTTTATATAGCTTTCGGCTTGTGTTCGAGAAATTCTGGGCTAAACCGGTAAGAATTCGTTCCAGAAGGTTCTCCATCCGTCCACAGTGTATCACCAATTTTGTCGCCAAATGAGTGATTTCTTGCCAGATGTGGCTACCATGCCTTCCCTTGCCATTTTATGGCAACCCTAAAACTGCTTTGTGGGGAAGCCATCTTACCGCGTTTGTACATTTCATAACAATATGTTAAGTACAGCTATTTATAATGAGTGAAACCTGTGGAAGCGAGAAAATCGTGTTTCATATAATAATTATAGCTTGTGTTATGAAGTAGATTATGGAGGTTTTATTAGCTTCTTCAGCCCTCAAATGGCTCAGAAGTACATTTATGGTAGGGTTTCTCCTATGGAATGGGAAGAATCCCTTCCTACGGGTGGCTTTTCACTGGATTCTTTAAGTATGATTATTGTTTATTATTTCCAATTTGTGACGATTGTTATTTTTGGAGTAGGTTTATTATTATTAGCCCAAAAGGACTATTAATTTCATTTTGGCACTTGGCATCGATTCACTTTCTACATTGATTCATTTTTCAAACTGTTCCCACCAAACATTACAGCCCTGCATTATATTTAAAGAAATTAAATAATGAAGAATCTACATAAATGTATGCATGTTTTTCGCATTGTGATAAAACAGCAGGACCTTGAGCAATCAAATTTTGAATAATGTAATCCTCCAGCGAATATGGGCATCTGCAAGCCCTAATTTCGAATTTGTTTTGTTATCTAGTTCATATTTTGTCAGACATGAACGAATTTTTGATTAAAAAACTCAACAATTTGAATGCAAGGAATGGCAACACTGTATGGGGGGGAACATTTTTATCTCCAGCATGCGAGACCGTGTATCAGAAATTCTAAAGATATGCTCATTTAAAATTATTTTGCGATATTGCTGTTGAACTGATTTTTATGGTTTAAGTGCGAAGAACATGATATTTCATAAATGAAGGTAACACGCAAAATGTTAAAAAAAACACCCCTTTGGGCGTAATGTAAAATCTGAAAGCTGGCAGATTTTTGTTTGTTTATTATTATTATTTATTTTCAGTTATTGATTGAGTCTAAATTTTTAAAGATGGATTCCTAAAGTAATTATTTATTTTGTTGAAAATATTTTACTTTCAAAAAAGAGAGTTAAATCTTCTACTTTTCAGATTCGTTCACATGAAGACGATGTAAATACTGTTGCTTTTGCTGACAACACTTCTCAAATTCTGTTTAGTGGTGGAGATGATGGTATATGTAAGGTATATCTTTAATGAAATCTGTTAAGTTATAGCCTTATATTTATGCTTTTAGTTCTTTATATACAGTTATTTTATTTATCTTATATATATATATATACAGTCAAAAGTCGTTAATTCGGACACCCATAATCTGGAATGATCTATAATCCGGACCTCAAAGCTACAAACTTTCTGTGCATGCGTCGTAGGTGTAGCGCAAGACCTTTACGGCTGCGAATATGTGTGTGCGTGTGCGCAAAATACGTTTACGAATGCGCGTTTAACGTATAAGGGACGGTATAAGATAAGCTAAAATTATGTAATTCAGTTAATTTTGCAGATTGCGTTGTTCCTTACTCTTCAAATTGGATTCGGCTTATTATTTTTTGCAGACTGTTAGAGCAATTTTATAAAAGTAAGCTTGAACTTTCAATTATGTCAAATAGAATTTCTGATATATATTTACTAATATGTAAAGGATCTACAAAGCGAAAGTATGTTTCGAAGTCCATTAACTGCAAAAAATGGATAAAGGCATATCCTTTGTTTATCTAAACTTTAACGTTTGTTTATCTAAACTTTGTGTATCTTTAACGCAGCGGTGCACAATGAATTGGAAGTTGATCTGTCAGCACAATCCTTATCTTCAGGGCAGATGTTTTTATTTTATTTGGCTTATAATTCCTTACTAAATGTAGTATTTCATCTCGATGTACTCCGTCTTTGATATGATTTAAATCAAATTCCTCGTCATTATAATTCACATCCGATAGCGAAGAAAGTGACAGAGGTTATTGAAAACGAAAAAATTTCGATTGACAAATTAGTCGGTATTCTCGACACAGCAATTATAGGACCTTGAACAGCGGAACTTTGTAACTGAACAAGAAATTTTGTCTGTTTATAGAATTATAATGTATTATCACATAAAAAAGAAGCAACTTAAACAACTTACATTGAAAGAAATGTTTAATAAAGTAAACAAATAAATATTAAGCTTTTTTTTTTTTTGTAAATTTTGATACCCTTTAGATCATAATTGTTCTTTATTTCATAAATTACGGTTTCATATTTTTAATTTTATAATTTCTGCATGCCATCTAAGATTTAAACTGATGATCTATAATCCAGAAAAATCGATAATCCGGAATCGGCGAAGTCCGACGAGTCCGGATTAACGACTTTTGACTGTAGTACAAAATCTGAAATCTGTATGCCCAGTATCCGGAATGATCTAATATCCAGATCCCCGAACCACCAGCCAAAAAAATAGATAAATGAATAAAATAGTGAAAAATAATCCCTCCGTGCTAAATATAGGATTGTACGATATCTTAACGAGGAACAAGTGTATCATAAATGCAGTTTTTCTCCGGGCTGACTGAGATTCATGCATGTTATTTTCGAACACATACTGTCTTGTGTGTCGTACCATTGCCGATAATAATGCATTGATTGAAGTTGTATTGATGTTTATCATGATGGCCTTTTCAGCCCTTAATTGGTTGTGGGAAGGAGGAGCAGGTCTGGCTGTACACATTTTGCCACCTGGTTCAATCCATGCACGTTCTAAATTCTACTGTCCGATATCTCTTCTAAATTAAAAAAATTATGTCATTCCTAACTTTTGTTGCCACTAATTTTTGACATGCTATATGACAGAATAAGCTGCACCATCTCTGGTGCCGGCCCTGAGGGTTGATTAATATTTTTCTGACTGACACGTACTGTCTTGTGTGTCGCACCATTGCCGATAATAATGCATTGATTGAAGTTGTATTGATGTTTATCATGATGGCCTTTTCAGCCCTTAATTGGTTGTGGGAGCTCCAGTGTTGGAGCAATAAGCTCCAGTGTTGCCATGCATATATGATCTCACTGAATTTAAACAGATGATCTAAAATCCAGAAATTTCTGGAATCACCAAAGTTCTGACGCTTCTGCATCTCGGTACTGTAAATATAGTATATGTAATAAGAAGTAAGTAAGGTATAAAATGCCAATTGGTGAATTTCCGTAAAAGTAAAAATTATATATTTTAATATAAATCCTTTTAGTATTAACTTGGATGAGAATTGGTCACGTCAAGAATAGAATGGTTTCTTCATGAATTTTAATTAATATAGTTTGATAGTTTACTTTTTTTTTTTTTTTTTTTTACTTAGTCACAATTTCAGAAAAGCAGCCGGATTAAAAGTAGATAAAGTCACTCATTCGAGAAAGATGTTATCTGGTTTAATCTAGTTTACTTGTCTAATTTTTTTTTTTTTTTTTTCCTTACTGTGTACAGTTTTCTTAGTATTTTGGAATAAGTAAGTAGTATTGTTTTTGTATTGTGTTTTTGGATTATGTATTAAGCTTGTTGGTGCTTCTTTTTTATGTTTTTGCGTATGAAGTAATTATTTATGAGATGTGATTTTTAACCTACATTTATTTATTATATATGTGCATGTAAAAGATATCTGAGATCAAAAACTGAAAAATATTTAATTAGCAAATGCTATAGTATTAAATGTCATGCAAAATCAATTAATTAAAAAAGATAAAATGTATATAATTAATATCAATCAAGAGTGGAAAACTAACAAAAAAAGCATGGATTAAGAGTATTAGAAGCAAAAATTTGGAAAACAAAATTAAATCGAAAGATTAATACAATTTTTTCTCCCATTTTTATTGTAGCAGCACTCCCGCTACTGAACTTTTGTCTTTCTAATAGTACAACTCAACTTTTGTAATCACTTAGTACTTTCGATTATGATGTATGTAGTATGCAATCCTTAATGTTTAGCTCAATGTTTATTTTTTAGAGAGCACCACTAAATTGATTGTTTTAATAATTTTTTTTTTTTCCATTGTGTTTTCGCTCATTCAGATATGAAGGCTGTTAAAACTTGGAGTACTGCACCACCAATTCCTGTTATGAAATGTTATCTCGCAGGAGCGTGGTGGAGATCTGTTAATATAAGTGAATTAATTTGATAATTATGTGTTTTAATTTGATAATAGTGAATATTTTTTGGCCATGCTGACATTTGTAATGGATATTGCTAAACGTCTCTAAAAATAGTTCTTTTAAAAGAGCAGCTCCTGCTTTTGTTTTGTAAAATTAGAAGGAATTTAATGAAGTAAAAATTTAATAGGTTATTAAATCAATTAATGGAATCATTTTCATTTAATTATTTGTAGTGCCCATCAGTGGCCGAGTGGTAAAGTAGCTGAACACTGGTAGTTCAGTCCAAGGTTCGAATCTCACGACAGGCATGGTCATTTTCATGGTTTTCCCCATCTGTAATGTGTATACGAGCCAGTTTCCCTTAGAAAGTCCTCCATGAAGGCAGCTGCTCCTCTTAGGCAGATACCCCAAAGGCTTTGCCATAATCACATTACGTTAACAAACCAAATCAACTTAATCTTAATTATTTGTATTTATCTTTGTATTAAAAAGAAAAAAAGTCTTAATGATACCATCTGATAGCTAATTAACTAACTAAAGTTATGTAGCAGTAATAGTAAATATATGTTACATAGTACATCATTACTGTACTATCTTTTTAACTGTTTTTGTAAATTATGGATATAGGTTCTTTTACTTAGCTTAGGAGCTTAGGAGGTAAAGCATATTTCAATTTCACTATTTCTTACTGTCCTTTGTACAGTTTTGTTTCCCATTTTACTTTTTGTCTTTTTTTAGTTATGTCCATATATTTTATTTTGAAACTTAAGTTTTATAGATTGTAAGTTAACATTAATTTTTACCTTTTAGTTTGGTTTTCAAAATTTCTTTCATTCTGATACTAGGCACCATATTTCCCCCACTTATTTTGCTTTTTCTTTTGACTATTTTATTTCTTAAATCCAATTGAAATTTAATTTGCCTTTAATTTTTACTTTTGAATATTTTTCAATTTCCACATAAGACTTAAACAATTTTGCCTTTTCTGTAATTTTGGTTTCTCTAGTTGTTTTATTCTTAGGAACTTTGCTACTATTGAACTCTACTACAGTTGCTAGCAAAGAGCTACTTTGCTACTCAAAATCACTTAATTTTAAATATTTGTTAAGTTAAAAAAAGTTCCCCTTGTTTCAAAATTTTGACTTATAGTCAGTCCTCTTTTTTATATTAAATGTACATGTTTTCATTTAGGTCATGAATTTTCAAGTAACTATTTTATTACATTCTAATTTAATTGAATTTAAAAACTTGTTTGACTATTTTTTCCCAAATATAATTCAGAAATTCAGCAATTTATCCAGATATAATTCAGAAATGTGGCTGTACTGGTAATTCTTTTGGCTTCTCCTTCACAAAGATCAAAGAATTATCAACTGTTTGTTACTTATTATTATTATTTTTATTTTTGATATTAATTTACTTTTATTTTAGTTTTGTTTCCAAAATTTCTGCTTCAATTATTGTTAATTTTTACCCTTGTTAAAACATTTATAAAATACCAGTGAGAAATAGTGTAAGAGAATTAAGTGAGGTATATCGTTCTACTGCTGAAGCAGTTCATATGGGGGACATCTAAATCAATTATTTCTCAAGTTGATTGTTTAACTTGATGTTTATTTAATTAGGAGAGTGCAAGTTTACAAAAGGAAGAGGAAACATTTTAATAAGACAATTTTCTTTTTTATAGGATTTATATGTATGTCTATATGTAATGTTTTCTTATATTATCTTAAATCAGTAATTTCTATAGTAATAGGTACAGACATAAAAAATTATAAATATAATTTCTAAGGATTAATATTTAGTTACTAAATTTTAAAACTTATAGGTTTTATTTCTTAAATAAAAGCAGATCAAAATTTTTTTAAAAAAAAGTGGAAAATGTTCATAAGAAGCTTTTTAAAATATTTAAAGTTTTATATACTACATAGTAAAATGTAATGGTTTTAGAATCAAATTTGAAGTGAAACAAATATGTTATGTGGATTTGACCCTTCTCCTGTGTAACTGAAAACACTTAACTTTATTGCAATGCAAAAGGACCTAAAATTATACTTCTTTCTTTTTAGGTTTGGGATCGTCGAACTCTGTGTGAAGCACAACCAAAACCTGTAGGGATACTTGTAGGACACGAAGATGGGATTACCTATGTTGATTCTAAAGTATTTCACTATCATTGCATTTTTAATTAATGAAATGTCTAATAAGTGCACGTACAGTAGAATCCCAGTTATCTAAAGTAATATAAATTAATGCTACTTCCAGTAATTGAAAATTTGGATAAAACAGAAAAGTGTAGCTGTTTTTTAAACACAAAAAATTACAAGTGTTATAAAAAGTGCTATTTTCTGAATTAGAATATCATTTTTAAACTTCCTTTCATTACTGTAATCAATTTAATGCTGTGTAAAAAATGTGTAAAAATATTATTTTTTTGCATTTTTACGACATTTTTTTTTTTTTTTTTTTTTTTTTTTTTTATATATATTGCAGAGTTAACAAGAACTGCGGTTTTTAGCCTAAAAATGTATTTTGTACTGAAAAATGATTGGTGTGTTTTCAAACTGACATTAAAATGATGATTGATAAATTGGTGTCGTGTCCATTGAGATAAAGACCTAAGAAACGGATTTAGCAGTTTCAATTTTTTTAGTATACATTTTTTTTTTATGGTTCAAATATTTTTAATGTTTTTAAATGCCTTTGCAGGGCAGATTTGAATATATAGTAAATTGAAAAAGTAGTTTTTGTGCCATTTTTATTTCTTTATGATGGCATCATCTAATCAGATAATAGTTTCAGTGGTATATCTGTAGGATTAATTTCACAGACCTGAAATTTCTTTTGTGTAGAATTATCTTTGAGTGGGAATTTTGCTGCAATTATAGCATTATTTAACAAATTGCTATCTAATGTAAACATCAAGCTTTGCTACAAGTTGTTTAAAACATTTCCTGCGCTTAAAAATAGTTGGACAAAATTGTTGAAAGATTTAGTTAGACTCATTAGTCAGTATTGATGAATTTTGGTGGATTTGGAAAAAGGCATAAATTTTGGAGGTAATTGGTAATTTTAATAGACAAATAAATTGAAACAGCAACTGAGGATACAAAAATAAGTAAATAAATAAAAATAAAAAAATACCCCCTTCCCCAATTTTATATATATATATATATACATGTAAAATTTATATACAATTTCAGCAGGTAATATATAATTTCAGCAAATTGGACTGTTTGGTTTCTGACTGTTTGGTTTGACACGTTTGGGTTTCTGTTATATACTTTTCTTCGGGATTTAAGATCAGCCTCTTAGAATACTTTGTAGATTTAATAAATTGTCAAGACTCAAAAGAGTCCTTTAGTCTCTCCTTACGTACAGATGTCATGCAAAAAATTCGTTAAATTGCATTCGATAGCGGTCAAAATGAATATTTTTGCTGAAATATGATACCCGAAATTTTTCGTTATTACAAAACTTCCTTTTTACTTTATACAAGGAAGTAAAAAAGGGAGGTACACAACTAGATTTTATAGCAAATCCCATCTACAAAATTTCAACGTTCTAGGGTTAATTGTTTTTTAGTTGCTTATACTCCTGCAGATATACCCCAAAAAAGACAAATGAGCTAATATGAATGCAAGGATTGCAACTTAGAACTGTGTGTAAATCTCTGCTCTGAAATTTATACACTAAAAATGAATTTTAAGTAATGATGATTTTAGTGTCAAAATTCACTAACAGGGAAGTAAACACTTAAAACAATTCAATATGCAAAATAAAAATATTTTAAAAATAAATAACAAAAACTTAAGTATGTGAAGTACATAAATAAAAACTATCTAAAACATTTATTGCATATATATTATACAGAACATTATTAAACAATACATTTATCTTTCCATGGATTTAGTAGTGAAAAACCCACTGGCCCTAGAGAGGTGCTCGCTAAGGAAAGACTTTTTTGGAGATAAGATTTATATTTCCTTGATACGAAACTCTAAGACTCTTTTAGTTTGGCTTGTCAAGCTCAGTGACGGGATATGCTATTGTTAGTTTGGCTTGTCAAGCTCAGTGACAGGATATGCTATAAATTCTTCGAGAATTAAAAGTCCAAAATGGAAGAATTGAACCATGGATTTTACTGATAGGTGAGAAAATTATTTGAAAATTAACTACTAGGGAATCCATGCAATTTTATAACTGACAGAAGGATGAAATGGAAGCACTACAAGGTTGTTAAAGTTATTTCTAAGAGCGGAATGTATTCTTTGATGGTAAGACAAAAGTTTTTAAATGTCTTTATCAGTGAACACTGGAGAAAATCTTCAGTCAGCAACTGATTTCAAATAATTGAGTTCATTAGTAAGCAGAAGTTCTGAGGAGGAAATTTTGAAAGTGTGAAATGCATAAAACAGTACAAAGTCCGAAATCAGGAATCGTCGGGACTTCGGCGATTCCGGATATTAGATCACTAGTTTAAATCTAGTAAAATGGCATGTAGAAATTATAAAATTAAAAATATGAAATCGTGATTTATATTTCGAGATTTCCGACTATCAATCGAAATTTTCTCATTTTCTGTAACTTTTCTGTCCCTTTCTTACTATCATAGCGCTATTTTGGTCTAGAACCACTACCAGATTTCACCATTCATTAATTGAAGACGATGCGAGGCATTGTCATCACATGAAAACCTTTTATATCATCTTCATTTATTACCGCTTCTCCACATTCTTTATAAATCCATTAATTGGAAAGTTTCCCTGTGTTTGTGAATCTGAAAACCGTTAAAATTAACGGCTATCATCATCAAATTTAGATGTTATTCACTATACTTATTTGGCTATGCATCATGAGCTTGGCGACTAACGACAAGTTGCTCCGTTAAATTTTATCTTGCTTCTATCACACACTGAAGCAATTAAGCTTGAATTGTATTAGTTATTTACTATATTTATGTATATTTCTTGCACATACTATATTTATGTATATTTCTTGCACAAGCTTATCAGAGTTCTGAATAAATAAATTCCCACCATATACGTAAGCCTTATTGAGAGCCGGCACTAGATATCTTACCGCCTGATGCAGTCTCTGTTAGTCCTAAATTCTGCGACTTGATGCGGCTATACAAGCCCTGACGTTGGTTCTGGGTTTATGTAAATAACAAATCAACTATTCTTAATTCAGATAGCCCTAAATGTAATCTTTTCCTCTATGAGTATCATCAACAAAATCTATTTTTAGCATATGGAAAGACATTTTTGGTAAATTTTTCCTCTTCAACATTTTTAGCGCATTTCACTTAAACCTGTAATCATCGCCAAGCTTAATGTCAACATAAAAGGATACCACACCCCTTTATTATTCAATTAACATAATTGTTTAGGCATCGCTACATGAGTCATGTATCTGTGTGGAATGTTTCGGTTTGAGATGCATGCCAAGAGATATAAGCAATGAAAGCCAAATTACTGATCATGTAAATTTATGCTAAAATGATTGTGTCTTCAATAACAAGGTATTTTATTTAGTGGCAAAGTGAAATTAAGAATCGGACTCTCCAGATCTCCAGATGTTTTATTACGCGCTGAAGGAGTGAATCAAATGCGCATGCCTACGAGAAAACGTTGGTGGTTTTGAGGTCCGGATTTTAGATGATTTCATATAATGGACATCCCGATTTCGGACTTTGTAATGTAATAAATAGAAGCCATTTTTTGCTTAGCTGGGTGACGTGTTTAAATATTACATTGTAATAAGTTAAATATTAGGATGCAGGTGAAAATTCTTAGACGTAATAAATATTTGTATTTTTCTTTGCTAATTATAATCTTAACTAATTTTTCAGGACTTGTGCTTGAAATATTTTCTTTAGTTGTACTGAGCATCAAAAGACATTTCGAAAGTATAACTTAGTTTCCAAAGAAATTGTGTTGAATTGCATAAAATATTTTAAGTTATCTGTTTTGCTGCTGTGCCTAAAATTTGTTGATTTTGCAAGCAAGCACTTACTGAATTTTTTTTCCGGGGGGGGGGGGGAGAAGTAGGATAGAGTTATAATTTATCACAGGTTTAATTTCTCAATGATGGTATGCCCTCTATTATTAGATGCATATTTATGATCTGTTTTTAATGGAGTCTCTAAAGAACTCGGTATTCTTTTTTCAAATAATTTTATTATTGAGGAAGTCAAGAACCTGTTCTATTTTTCATACCATACCATTGGGTCTTGAATACAGTATAGCCTCCATTATCTCAGCCAGTGGCATTAAGATAGGTTTGAATAATAAGTTTTAATATTTAAAAAAGTGATTATTTTGAGGAAAGCATTTACTTAAGACTAAGGACAGTTTTTAAGCATTAAACATTTATTTCAATATTAAATTGTATTTTTGGCAAAACGAACAGATAATTCTAATACATACTGTAAGGATTTATGTTATTATAACCAATTATTTTTAGTTTTTCTTTCCTTTTCCTCCTAGTTTCAGTTTCCTGCCAAAATGTAAATTTCATAATATCTCTAATCTAAATGTGTCTCAGAAGCAGTATTTAAGCTGCGTTTCAAGAGTTCAAAAGGAGTAGTAATGGACTTAGTTCTGAGTTATGCTGCCTGTTTGAAATTAGCTCTGTAGTCGGTGTTAGACATCTTTTCTGGGTTTGCCGTGTGCAGCCGATTTATCATTTAGTTAAGCTAAGGAGCCAGTCATTAGATATCTTAATTTATTAGCGATTTGTTACATTCCTATTTTCTGTTAAATTTACCTTAGCCGCAGGTGGTGGTGGTTTGTGAGCACCAAGCGCATGCATTTTAATTTATTATTATTCCATCCGTTTTAATTTATTTTAAATAAAAAGGTCATTTAAAAACCTTCTTCTGCAGTATTTATTCTCAAAAGACATAGCGAGTATTTGCTATGTCTTTTACATAGAGTCTACAGTGTATGTTACCAAAGAGAACCCAAAGACTCTATAATACATCTAATTTTCTCACATGATAGGAGCCTTAGCTAAATACATTTGCTGTTTCACTTTTTAAAATAGTTATGATTTAACTTCTCACGATAGAAAACACGATTTTTTTGTACCTAAATGCCATTATAAGAAATACTATGTTTACAAAATGTATATATATATATTTTTAGGTATAGACTGAGTGAAAAAAATAAAGTATTGGCTTGAGACACTGGAAAAAGCATGCTAACATAAACAAATACAAAAGCAATGATTATGAGAAATTGCAGAAATTCAAGAACTAAGTAATTGAGATTAGAATAGCAAATATAGGATTTCAAGCAATTTAGCATATAATGCTTATACCTTGTTTTCAAATGCTTTTTGTGCTAATTACTGACATTTTATTCAAACAAGTTATAAATAAACAGGCCCAAAAGGTGCGAGGGTAGGTTGAAAAGTGTCCAGCCTAGCAAGGAAAATAATTTTTTTAAAAATCTGTTTAATGCATACTTTATTTTCAACTTATAGTCCCCTTTCAAAGATATACACAGGCTCCAGCGATGCAACAATGCTTGGATTCCTTCTCTGTAAGAGCTTTTCGTCTAAGGCCTCAAAGTAGACATTCATCACTGAGATGACTTTGGTATTGGAACAGAATTTCCTTCTTGCCAAAAATTTTTTTAGGTTAGAGAAGAGGCTGTAATCCAATAGGGCCATATCATGAGAATAGGGTGCATGAGGAAGAATTTCAAACTTCAGTTCATGAAGTCTTGCCATCACAATTACTGCCTTGTGAATGGGAGCATTGTAATGATGAAAAAGGATTTTCTTGGCCAGACCTGGTCTTTTTTCTTTGATTTTGGAATGCAATTTATCCAGAAGATTAGAATAATATTCAGAATTGATGGTCCGGTCTTTTTCTAGACAGGGCCATCAATCCTATAATAAAAATTCCCTTAGCATCCCAAAAAATGTTTGCCTTAACCTTTCCATCAGATTGTGCACTTTTTGCTTTTTTTGGTGTTGGTTCGTTCTTCGTTGTCCACTGTTTTGATTGCTGCTTGGTCTCAGGCATATAGTGATGGATCCATGTCTAATCCACAGTAATGAAACCAAAGCTGTATGTATAGTTAAGCACTGCAATGGAGAAACTTGCACTTCGAAGTGACCGCACTGCTCATAGCAGTTGCGCTCGGGAAACACAATCAGTAAAACTGTGCATGCTCCTTTTCTTTTCAGTCATTAGATTTTCAAGCTGAATTTGTTTCGCTCCTTTTCCCGCAACAACTTTGAATCAGTTTTGGCCAAAATGGCATGCCGATGCTGCCGCTTTAACCCCTTCGAGCCGGGTAGTGAAAACGCGCGCTTATCACTGAGGCCGGCAGTGTCTTAAGCGAGCGTCTCTCCAGGGCCGGGGGCTTTTTTGCTACCAAGCCTAAATCCATGAAATTTCCGAAGTATCAATGCATTGTTTAATAATGCTCTATAGAGTATTTAAACGGCTTATGCTTTATAAATATTTTTATGTATACTTAATTACTTTTTTCTTGTTTAAATGCATATTTTAACATTTTATTTTAATTACTCACCATTTATTATTTTAACTTATACATCTGAAACTAATATATTACTTAAAATTCTCTTTGTATGAAAAATTTGAAACAGGGATCTACACACATCCCACGTTACATTCTGCACTCGTAATAACTCATTTGCCGTTTTGGAGGATTTTTCCGGAATGTGAACAACGAAGCATCGTCGTCTCTTTTTATCCAGTCTCTTCTAACAAAGTTTTTGGAAAATGTCTTTCAGTTTAATCTTTCAGAATCAATATCAGAATATCAGAATTTCAGAATCAAATCTGAAATCTTTGCATCATTTCTGCTATTTCATGCTCTGTTAACAATTTTCGACGCTTCGAACATTACAACAGTAAAACAAAGAATTCACGTCTAACAAGATCTAATTATTTTTCTAAAAAACTGAACTGCCAAAGAAATCCCAATGCTTTAGCAAATAAAACTTCGCTACTTACGTAAACAACTACCACGTGCGAATAAAGTGCGATTTAAAGAGACGTCATAAATCACCATTCGGAAAATTTATTTCCCCGTTTGTTTATATAATCAAAAACACGTATATGTGATCATGCTTTTCTCATTCAAGTAGAAAGTCTAATTTCATGTATCTGAAACCATATGGACATCAGTGCCTCTTGTGGCAGAAATTATAGTTTTAAAAAACGTTCCAAAGTAGGCACAAAACATGACAGTCGGTAGAGAATGGACAATCCTCTGGCACGCCTGCGTGTCGGCCGGTAGGTAAGTGCGTTCGTTGCTGGCACGTATACGTGACAGTCAGCGCGAAGGGGTTAAAGGTTGCTTGAGCAAGATTTTGTCAAAATCAGGTGGAATACATGTCTACAGATTTCCTATAGAAGAGCAAGAGCAAAGGTTAGAACTTGATTATTTTACAATTTTGTTATTTGTAAGCAGATTAAAATGTGATTATTTTATATTTAAACGTGTATAATAATTTTATCCTGAATGGCAGAGTTTATATGTAACTGTGTGTCCATTAAATCTAATCTTTTACTTACACTGCAGAAAAATACTTCTCTGTGCTTCAAGATTTACCACACTCAGTCTTTATTTTAAATTTTATTTCTTCTTACTGTAAATAGTCTTTATTGTGTTGTTTTATTAATTTTAAACTTTATTGATGGATTTTATCTATTAAAACTTTGGAATAATTTGAATAGCACTTTCAAAAATTATTTTACAGGATATGCAATTTTTTAAGTATATTTTGATGTAAAATAAAGAAAAAAACGTTATTAAATGCTAATTTGAACATATATATAAGAGCTCAAGTATTAGCCTAAAATAATACCAAAAATTACAACGCTAGAAGCAAAACTTTTTTTTTTCGCCCCTGGTTTTTTTTTTTTTTTTTTTTTTTTTTTATTATTATTTTATTTTTTTAAATAAAATTAGGCTTAGGGATGCAAAACCTCTGTCCTGTACAGTGACTGTCTTCAATTCCCTTCCGTCCTGCATGAGCTTCTTAAACAAAGGTGCGCCATCGCGAAAGGATTAAAGTGTTAAAGGATTCAGTATTTAAAACCATTTTTAAACCCAGTATATTTTTCATTAAAATATTATGATATAAATCAAATTAAAAATTATTGAAATGCTTATTTTTATTGCAAGTCACCTTTGTAAGATTAAATGTTGCTGATAAAATACTTACTGTAAATCATATGAATTTTTCTGCAGTGTATGGTAACCAATAGGTTTAATGGACACACAGTGATATATAAACCTTACCATGCAAGATAAAATTATTCTCACGTTTAAATATGAAATAATCACATTTCTAATCTGCTTAAAAATAACAAAAGCGTAAAATAATCAAGTACTAACCTTTGCTCTTCTATAGAAAATCTGTAGAATTGTATTCCATCTGGTTTTGAAGTTTTTTTATTGAATATTTCAAACAAATCCGCAAAAGTTACAAATTAAATTTTTTGTGAGAGAGAGGGGAAAGAATTTTTTTTTTTTAATGTTAAAGAGATGCGCTGTTCCTTCACATATAAATTAATTTAGTAATTTCATTGATTTCAGCTCACTGAATTAGTGAGAGGAGGGGGCAAGAGTTTTAGTTAATAGTGCAACCGTTGCAAACTGGATTGGCGCTGCAGTCAACCTATTCGGTGGCAGGTTGTAATATGGGAGTGGTGACGCTTCTCTTGAAGCAGCTTTGAATAGAACACTATAAAAAAGTCAGTTGGGTTTAAGTTGTATAGCGCCAAACATTGTTCTGATATCGTCATGTGCTGCAGCTTTTGATCCAAGGTCAGCAAACATCTGGCTGACAACTTTCCCGTACCCAAAATATTGGTTAAAATATGGTGTGCTCGTTCTTTTGATATACCAACAGCCTCAGCAACCTCTACCAATTTCATTCAGTGATTACTCATAATGTTATTTTAAACTTTTATAAAGATTTCATCTGTAGTGGCTGATTTTGGTCTTCCAGAACAGTCTGCAACCAGAGTACTTGTACGACCATGTTTAAAATCTACAACCCATGTCTTAACAATTGTAAAAGTAGGAGCAGATTCTGCAGTGTTGCATCTAGCTCAGTTTTAATATTCGTTGGATATAAGATTTTTACAAAAAATAGTTATTTTATCGCTGCATGTTCTTCAGTTTTATCCATACTTGGTTAAAAATAAAAGAAAAACATTTTTAAACAGCACAGTAAAAAACAACCAAACAGAAATCCTTTGAAATACTCTAGAAGTATTAGACGAAGATGGCTTTTTGAAGTGCCTTTGTCAAAGTAACTCCAGGAGCGCAATCGCTAGATGAGACCAGAAACTTTGCATCCCGCAATCATATTTATGTAATTGAGGTTTCTTTGTAGTTCAGCCCAGTACTTTATTTTTCCAGATGTAGTATTTTTATTGTTCTGTGCTTTATTTTAATACTTAAAAATTAACTTTCATGAAGTTTTTAGATAAGTAATTTCCCTCCTGCAATTATTTTAGGGTGATGGCCGTCATCTCATTACAAATAGTAAAGATCAAACTATAAAACTGTGGGATATGAGAGCTTTTTCACCACCTTCAAGTATTGAAGTAAGTTTTGTTTCTTCTTTCAAGTATTGAAGTAAGTTCTTCTTCATCAAATAATCAAACACCTTCATCATGTGTATTGTACTGACAGCATGTATCTTTTTGATCAATTTCTCAGTTCTTCAAACAGCTGATTCAAAACATTTAAATTTTTTTTAAAAGATATTTTTTAATGTTAATAACTCAGCATAAACTTAGCTAGTAAGTTTTATTTGATTGTTTGCAATTTTACAGTCAAATATAATTACTGGCATCAGATGAGTAATCCTTAAGATTTATTTTTCCAATAATATAAACTTTTGACTACTGATCTACACTTAATGCAATTCATGCACCAGTTCTGGAATATATATATATATATATATATATATATATATATGTGTGAGTATATATATATATAAGGTAAAAAGGAAATTCTTCACGCTTTTTCTTAAAAGTCGTTGTGATATTGTGGTTCTGGTGAATAATTTTAACACAATTTAAAATAAAGTGCAATGAAAAGTGTAAATACAAGATAAATGAAATTATCACCAGAATACTTATAAATAATAAGCGAATTTAAAACTCAAATCAAATCGGAAGTAATATGTTGATTAAAATTAAGATAAGCTTTAAGCATTTGAATAGAAATACAATGGTTAAATAAGACGTAAGCAAAAATATAAAAAAGTGGTAAATGGTAAATTAGTAATATGGTAATGGTAATATGCAGTCAAAAGTCTTTAATCTGGACTCGTCGTAACTTCGGCGATTCCGGATTTAGCGTAAGTATATAGATACAAGTTGTTAATAAATACAAGGTTGTTTTTACGATTTTGATTGTCACATTAGCGTGTTTCTCTTCTAGCCTAACAAATCAGTTATTCTTAATTCAAATAGCGCTAAATATAATCGTTTGTCCTATGAGTATCATTAACGAAATCTATTTTTAGCATAAGGAAAGAAATTTCTGTTAAATCTCCCCTTGTCAACATTTTAGCGCATTAAACTTAAATCTGTAATCGGATAATACTCTGTTATTTGGCGTTGCTGCATGAGTCATCACTTAAGTTGTCATCCGTTGATAGACGTGCGGTGATGAAAGCAAAATACAATAAATAATGGTTCGCGATTTCGGCATCAAGGATATAAAATATTAGTTGGTGTAAAATTAAACAAATGTTTCGGTTTGAGATTATGCCAAGCAGATACGCAGCTATGGAGTCAAGTTACTAATCACACAAATTTATGCTAAAATAATTTCTTCAATAATGAGATATTTTATTTAGCGCCAAACTGAGATTAAGAATCGGGATTTCCAACATGTTTTTTTATGATGAGGAAAAAAATCTAATGCGCATATGCGTAAAGCATACCCCTTCCCTCCAAAAAAGCGCTAAAAAATTGGTTGGTGGTGGCTTTGAGGTCCGGATTTTAGATCATTCCGGATATTGGATGTCCGGATCTCGGATTTCTTATTATATATATAGATTTCTTATTTATATATATATATATACACATTATATACATATATATGCGATACTTAATTTTACTAATGCCTTGCATGTAATGCCCCTTTTATCTGCAAAACATCTTTCCCTTCTCAACTGCAGAGTTTTTCTTCTAACAGTATCATGAATTTTGTCAAGTTAGAAGAACCATCTACTTCAGGAAAAGATGTAACTGCTAATTCAACATCAATAAGTGTAGAAAATAATAAAATCAATTCTTTTCTTTTCAAATCTGAAGTTACAGATGCAGAAATATTGTGGGCTTTTAAGTGCATCAAAAGCCACTATTCTTTTAAATCGTGCGATGATATTGGGCCGTTATTCACTAAAATGTTTTCCGGATAGTTCCATTGCAAATAGTTTTCATGTGGTGAAAAGAAATGTGCTTATATCTGTTTATTTTGGTCTTGGCCCTTATTTTAAAACTTTGTTACTAAAGCATTGTAAAAATGCTGAGTTTTTTACATTACATACTATTTGATGAGACTCTTAATCTGACAAATCAAAAGAAGCAACTAGATATTTATGTGAGGTACTGGCATCACGAAAATAAGGTCAGAACTCAGTACCTTACTTCTGCATTTATAGGGCATGCAACAGTGAAATTATTTTATCCAAATTTTATGAATGTGTTGAAAACTAGACTTGTCAAAACTCTTACAAATATCGATGGATGGTCCTGCAGTAAACTGGAAATTTTATGATTTATTGCAACAGGACTTGACAAAGGAATATAACATTCAATGCTTGACATTAGGGACATGTGGTTTACACATTCTTAACAATGCTTTCAAGCATAGGATGTCATCCACTGGCTGGGACATTCCATCATTCTTATCCTCCTTATATTGGATTTTTAAAGATTCTCCTGCAAGACGTGAAGATTTTTTAAGTATATCTGGCTTAAAAAAGCTTACCTGTGAAGTTCTGCTTTTACCGATGGTTGCAAAATGTCCCAGCAGTTGAAAGAGCCATTGAAATATGGGATGACTTGCTACTGTACATTGAAAGAAGTTGAAATGGGGAAGTTTAAAAAAAATTCATCGAAATCCTTCTCAAATATTTTGGAGGCAACTAAAGATAAAACATTTCTTATAAAATTAAATTTTTTTCTCTCTCTTGTCGAAAATATTATTGCCTTTCCTTGAATATTATCAAAGTGATAAACCACTTATTCCCTTTTTTGCTGAAGATATCTTAAAACTTGTAAATGATTGCCTTCAGCACTTTAAAATTTTGAAACTAGAATATTCAAAAATAACTAAAGCAGAAAATCTTTATAAATTTAATTTTAATGATCCAAATTGTTATAATGATAAAAGTAAAGTTTATTTGGGATTCATTGCTGAGCAGTTAATGAATGATAAATGCCGCAAGAAGGACATTTCACAAGCTGAAAGTTTTGCATTGAAACAAGAAGGTCAACAATGTGTCTTAACAATAGTACAACACTTAATGTCTAAATGTCCAATAAATTATTCTCTTATTCGAAATGCATCTTGTATAGACCTGCGATTGATGGTTAAAAGTCCAGAAAAAGCCCAGAACAAAATGAAAATAGTTCTAATGGTATTAATGCAGAATAAACGTGTTTTACAAGATGATTGGGATGAAATTCTGCTGCAGTTTGGAGAGTTTCTAGACAAAGTAGTTAAGACAAATTTACGTGAATTTTCTACTTTTGATCCTCAAAATCTTTCCACAGGCCTCTGTGGAAAGGGGCTTCTCTGTAAATAAATCAATTGAAATTGAAAATTTAAGTGACTCATCATACGTACATTTTTCAACGCACAGTATTTGATTACATAAAATTTTCTGGAGGTGTTCTTAATATCGAAATTAATAAAGAAATGAGATCAGCAGCAGCTTCTGCATGGTCTAAATATATGCAGTATTTAGAAGAACAAAAATCTTTAACTAAATCTGAAAATTCAAAGAGGAAAAGAAATATCATTGAGGAAGAAATTGATTATATGAAGCAGAAGAAAAAATTTCTTCAAAGGGATATTAAAGATTTTAATGAAGAAGTAGATGCTTTAGCAGATGAGGCTGAGACCAGCATGAACATTGATTTGTTTATCAAAGCAAATGAACTTAGAAGAATAGTTTAAAGAAAAGGAAATAGACATAAATAAATTAGATGTTAAAATAGCTGAAAAGATTTCAGATTTAAAAAAAGCACAAATGCTTTGTATATCTTTATTGTACAGTTTATTATTCTAGTATCTTTCAAAAAACCAAGGAAATAAATTGTATGTTTACAAATCAGTTATTTTAATCTGCAAAATATTCTTACATTGTGATTATAATAGTAGTTGACTGTGTTTAAAATAATATATCAAATAAGTTAAATAATAATCATGTAAATCTCTAAAATAGTGACTGTTATTAGTGTAAAATACACTTATACATATTTTTAAAGAAATTATGTTCCTAATTTAATGTTATCTACTTCATAACTTGTAGGGAGTTCAATTACTACAAGTTATGAATTTTCAAAATTAATTAATTTAATTAATTAATTAATTAAATTAATTTTCAAAATTGTTTTATGATAAGTATTAAAGTGAATTTAATAATAGTGCATAATACACACTTCTGTTAGTTTCTTAAAGTGAAATTACAAGCATGAAGTCGGTTGTATGGATAATCGCTTTATTCTATTCGTTTTTTTGTTTGCTAATAGGTCCTTAATTTTTTCTTTGATGGTCCTTAAAAGTCCTTAATTTTCATGTAAGGAAATGTGTACGAACCCTGTAGGGGGAACAATGTCTTTGGGCATCAGCCAATATGATTAGACTGTCTGTTAGCTGTAACTCGTCCTTAATTTTCGAAGGGGGTTGGAAACTCGGAACATGGAAAGATTTCATGGAAAGATTTCAAAATGGCGTCAGTCAAGTTGTTTGAAGAAAAAATTGTTTCTAAAAGTGAAAATGGCTAATTCAGCTAAAACTACTCAACATGGCCACAAAAGTAAGAGTAAAAAGGAAAAAACAGTCATTTTGTTAATAAAAAGTCGTAATTCTTCAAGCTAGAAGGCGATCAAGCTACTATGAAAAACAAAAAGGCCCGATTTGTTAATAAAAGTAGTAAAATTGGCCATCAAAGTAATTTAAAACTATTTAAACAATAGTACAGTCAAAAGTCGTTAATTCGGACACCCATAAATTCCTCGTCATTATAATTCGCTTCCGATAGCGAAGAAAGTAACAGAGGTTATTGAATACGAAAAAATTTCGATTGACAAATTAGTCGGTATTCTCGACACAGCAATTATAGGACTTGAACAGCGGAACTTTGTAACTGAACAAGAAATTATGTCTGTTTAAAGAATTAAAGAGAATGTATTATTACATAAAAAACGAAGCAACTTAAACAACTTACATTGAAAGAAATGTTTAATAAAGTAACAAATAAATATTAAGCTTTTTTTTTTTTTTTTGTAAATTTTGATACCCTTTAGATAATAATTGTTCTTTATTTCATAAATTACGGTTTCATATTTTTAATTTT